CCCGAGAGTGGCCGTGTGTCGATCAGTTCTTTTATCTGATTATATTTCTTTTGAAGTGATAGTTATTGATAATCATACAATTTAATCACTGTTAATTCCGATTCTTTACTGGGTGGGAAATACCGTGCTGTTGTATTTATTCATTCTACGACCGTTTTAACTGAGTCAGTATCCCCGGGCGCCGCCGTGAGGATGGGGTTTAATATGACAGCCCATGGAGTAATACACAACAATTAGCTACAAAGTATAGTAGTCACTTGGACACGGCCACTCTTATTCACGAGCACTAGTACAATATTGTCAATTACAGAATTAACAATTAATATTTTGGAAATAGCTCGCAAACAACTTCAGAAATACCGTGCGACACCACAGGACCACACCTGCAAAGTCCTTTAAGCAGCATACACATTTCCTAGATCCCTAGCTAACTATAGGCTACCCTACAAACTTTAGGGTGGTATTAACAGAGCATTGTGTTTATCGCCAATTACCAACATTTGAGTAAAAATGAGGAATGGCATGCAGAAAAAGGCATTAAGTTATTGTTTACGGTCCTTCTCCTGTTAAATCCCAAAAGTTTTTGCCGGCTGTTAATCACACTAAATTAAGGATCCCTATGTTCACTCCTGAGCTGATGGAGAAAAGCACGTGCAATCTTGTATAAAAGACGAAAGTTTGTCAATTAGGTCTCCTTTTCTTTAAAGATTTTAGCATTACCACGCTGAACTGACTAGGTTGTTCTTCCTTTGACATACACATAGCTTGAAAGCTTCTGGTTGAGGGTGTTGTGGTCTCAATTCTTCGGCGACTTCTGCAACAAGCTTTTGCCTTTCGAACTCCTCGTCTTCTTGCAACAGATCTCTATGGTCAAGTTCAACTTGTATGCACTTAGGACTATGTTTACATGTTGACTCAAACGGGCCTAGAGTCCAACATGGGCTGGCAATAGGTGAGCACGGAATTGGTACGGGGGTGGGGGGAACTCCCTATGATGGCCTACACGAGGAGGTTCCGCCCGAAAGGAGTATCTTTTTTAGGCTTCAGGTATATGAAAGGGTGGGCATTTCACTAAATGAAGTATATAAAAGGGCGAGTGCGCTTATTGCAGCCTTAGCAGCATCTTTGGAGGTTCTTAAAGAAAAAAGAACTAAGTTTAAGAATTTAAGGAAAAAGTAGAAGGACTTAATTTTTCAGAAATTAATATACACGGGAGAAATTTCATCCCCTTAAGTACAAACACTTTTAAAAGTAGAGGTGGAACAGTGGGGAGAGAGGGTGCATGGTAAAGTAGGTTAAAAATGGAGAGATGAGATGGAGCACATTGTTCAAGAGGGTATAAATACAAAAAAAACAGCCATCTGGAGGTATTTTTGAAGACTGAAAACGTTATCAAAACAAGAAAAACAGAGAAATCTTGTCCAATAAACCTCTCCGACAAATGTGTGGACATGGTTGCTGACTGTTCAATCGTACTCTTCTCGACCATTCGGCGTCACGTTTTTTCAAGTTTCTTGCGACAGGAGGAGCAAATCGGCCATATAAAGTTGAACTGAACACTAAGGTACTTTTAAGTCTCACTAATTTTTACAAAATCAGAGACATGTTTTAAACACTGTTTAAGTTCAAAAAAATTATTTTGATTGCAAGAATGAAATACTTTTCATACACGTGCACGTGAACGACACCTCGACCACAATCGCTCCTAGCCTCTTCCCCAGGACATTCTTCTTAGAAAATGGCAGGGGCGGAAAAGCCCTGGGGACAAGGTTGAATCCTGACTCCGTGTAGAAAGCTCTATTTTTCCCATTTATAATGCTCTTCAAACAATCATCAGAAAACTATCTTTTACAACACACGGATTAACCGGTATGTATAGTATTTTAAAGGTAAGAATTGCATGATTAGGGCAAGATACACGGCTGTCAAAAAAATAGAAATAACAAAAACTAGCTTCAGAAAACATCGCAAGATAAAATGTTAAACAGAGAAATTAGACTATATCTCTGTACGTTAAGAAACTTTTTGGCATGAAGAAGAAAAAAGAATGATACTTACGTGATGGAACAAAACTTTGACTTATTTCGCTGGCTATCTGGAAATTTACGACATGTCTTCCTGCCACAAAAGTTATTTTGCCAGTATGATCTAGAGTGTGACCGGGGTATTGACAAGACCTTAGGCTCAATTTCCGCCGTCTCCCCGTCCGTTGGGGGCTCATTTTCCAGAACAGCGGCTTACAATCGAGCCTAACAAGACCTTGATGCTCGCAAAAACCTGCCAAGTAGGTGTCTGTGCCTTGGGCAGATTGTCATTTCAGTTCCGAATACCCACCAAGCCTCGAATACGTACTCTCGCTAAAATGAGTTCATTTTCATTGTCTTTGCTACACTTGCTAAACTTAGACAAGTGGCAGCTGGCTAAGTGCAACGTAATATCATCCATGCACTCTGTGACCAACACATTTTCCTCCACACCGTACCCCTACTGGGACCTCACTCTGTCTACAATCGCGTGGAAGAACTGCTTGATGAAATAGCCGAAAAAGCCATTTTTCACGATTGATCTCTTCGGTGATTTCATTGACAAAACTATATTTGAAACTGGCACCTGTAGCATTATAATTCAATCAGATTGAAACCAAAACAAGATCATCGTTGGAATTCGGTTATACCCTAACAAAAACTAGAAAGATACTCCCTATTGCGTTTATTCACTGAAAAAAGGAACTATTTTTTCCGTTTCATTCTGCTGCCGATAAACGCTTTAAAGATCTTTGAATGAAACTGAAATTTACTGCTAATTTAAGATAGAAAAAGTGTGGGGCATTTTTTATCATAGTGCCATGTACAAAGATCTGCCTTCTCCTGATAAGCAAATATCATTATAAAGCTTTCGACGTTAACGCTATTTTTTAAGGCATGCAAAAAAGAGTGCCCCAAAATTTTCGTGTGCTGACAAGAGGACTTACCTTGCAAGTGAAATCTTACTTTTTATCATTATCAATAATAACTATCATTTAAAAAGAAAGATGATAATATTATAGAATTGATGGACACAACGCTAATGTTTTCTAATCGACCACCCCTCTTAAGGAATGCGTGACAGGCCACAGTAATTGGATGATTTTAAGCCACGCAAACATATATCATGATATATTATTCAGCTGCTTCTTCCTCTTTAAAAATAAAAAAAAACAGACCTTAAGGGGATTCTAAGTGATGGTTTGTGTTTTTCTGTGGAAAGGAGAGTTATTTTTCCCCTTAGAAATGTAAAATGTAAGGATTATATTCAGCTGTATATTTCCTGTCAATTTGTTGAAACAACGCAGCTAACGCTAGTTTGCATACAGAGAATGTGACATTCATCGTCGACAAGAAAAAGACCCAAGGAAAAGCGATTACTAAGTTTTGTCCACATGTTTTCAAACGTCCAACATTTAAATGGTCTAATGACATTTAGTGATAACTAGAAACGTTAAAGCTGTGGAAATTAGTCGATCAGATGCGGACCGTTACAATTCCAGCTTTGCTGTCAAAATGGCGAATTTTGGAACATTAACGGAACTTTGCATGGCACGCAGAGAAGAGTGCCCACAAATTTTATTGTGTTAAGTAGACTGGTCTTAGTACTTCTGATTTATCATAGACTTGAGTCTGGGTGAGGTGCCACTTTTGCGAAATTACTGTTCAGCTCTAGTTATGCAAATTACTTTTCCTGCTGAGCAAATTAAAGGTCATTTTAAAAAAATCATATCTCAGCCAACTTTCCACAGAATGCAACCATTAAACCTTGAGACTGTCAATCAGAGTTAAAACTTTTGTTTGTAAAATAATCAGCTTATCCGGCTATGTAAGGTAGGTTTGATAGAGCCCTAAAGTTTCACCAAAATCGCACCACTTCCGACGGCAAACGGGCCAGTTTGAGGTGACCGAGAAAATCTTCCTGTAAAATAGGGAAAAAATTGAGTTGGTCCAAATAAATGTGATATTTCTTCATGGGATTGGATAGTTATCTTCCACTGAACAAATCAGGGCAATCTGTGATACACCGAAATTTGCCTTATCGGTTCTTACGCGGACAGCCTCTTAACAACTCCTAGGTCCTCGTGGTCATCATTGTTTATCTGTAGCTGGTCCTCAGGCTCTTTTGTTGACGGCTTTGCATGCTTAGGTTCTGGATTTGCGTGGTTGGCGCATCCTTGCCTTTCGTGCTTGGTTTCTTGTCTCAGACCCGGCACTCTGGTGTTCTTCAAGGGTTGCAGCCTTTTCGTTCAACACAAAAATTTCGTGCTTCCTCTTCTTTGTGGTCTGTATTCCATGGCCGACGCTAGGGTTTGTCATGCCTGCCTCCTTTTTTCCACCGTCAACTTAAATACTGTTACTATAAGTTGTTTACTATTAAACTTGAGATTTAGCCTTGATTTGCAGTCACTCAAAGCTGTGACAACATTGCATGCATAATGGCTATTGCAGAGAAGTTTATACTCTTATCAATGAGCTCTTGTAAGCTCTTATTGTTACTGTTGAGTTTGTCATGCTGTTAACGAAACAGTTAATTTGCTGAGTAACTTGAAACTTGAACTTTGAACACGGAACATTTTGTACTATAAGTAACCTACACAGAATGGAAAATTTTCTTGTTTTATACGAAGGGTCCACTGGCACATTTTCCTTGACCATAGCTTAGGAAATTAATAAATTGATATTTTGCATTAATTTGAGCAGTAGAAATTTCTAGCACCAAAGGAGCAAAGACATTCCCGTAAACATAAAATCATGGGTAATTGTAACAATTATATAGATTTTTTTCCTCAAAACCTCAAGTTATGCCCTTTCATTCAATCAAACTCTCTTATTTAATTCCTTAGTGATTATGATTCATGTGTTCTGTTCTTGATGTCCTATGCAATATGCAGAAAAAATGGTTTGTGGGTCCAAGAATAACACAACTGTTAAGTGAACTTAATATACCAGTAAGTAAGGAGCATCCTTTCATGCCTATATCTTGCCAAAACCAAGTTTGCCATGCAAAATACTGTTATTAAGGTAATCCTTGAATACATTGTAATCGTTGTGCACTACTGGGATGGAAAGTTCCAGAGTGCAAGTGCTGGACTCTGCCAAAACTTTGCTGGGATGATTTTCAAGGTACTTCACGAGTAACTTGGTGGTTACATCTGGGGGTAGTGATGGACATCCAGTCCAAAATAGTACCATGTCTTCTAATGTTTCATTGTTAACAGCACCATCTGTTGTTGAAACAAATCATTTCAGTAAGATTTTCTTGTTTGTGACCCAGCTAACCAGGGAAGTGCACTGTATTCATAATTTAACTGCCTTCCAATTTTGGGGGAATTTGTTTCTCATGTAAATACATTATCAATTTTCTTTACAAGTCCTTGATCCCATGAAAATCATACTTTTCTTTCTTATGAGCCTCTTCACTAAATCACTAAACTACAGTCTGTATCATTGTAGAAAACCATCAACATTTACACCAACAGAGAATCCCAATACAGTTATCACTGAGTATGACAACCATCATCATCACCATCATCAATTTTAGTTAAGTGTCAGGGTTATTAGGTTATTGTATAAAGATAGTCATACTGTTAGGATCACCTTTCTCATGTAATTCATCTATATATTGGAGAAAAAACTGTTGAGCTGCTTGGTTTACAGGATAAGCAGTTTCTCTCCACTCCAAATGTAACTTGAGCATCATGACATCAATTTTGCCAGTGTGTGGAGGAAACACACGTTGCTGAACGTCAGGAAGTTTCCCAAGTAAATCGAGGAGTGTTGTTTGTGACACTTTAACAGAAGCCAGTCCCTTCCTCAAGTCGTCTAAGGCAGGGATGCGCTTTGTGATGACTTCATACAACAAAATGCACTCATATGCTAGGTGTCTTCTCTCCTCTGTTACACTTATATGAGGGTAGCCAGCAGATGTCAGCAGCTCTGAGATATTCATGGAGCTTGATGGATTGGTGAAATCTGCCAAAGATTCTTTTTTGCATTGAAGAAGCTGTTCACAGAGAAACATTAAATAAACAAACATTACCATAACTGCACTAAAAGTTTAGTGCATGAAAAGTATTACAAATATTGTAAAAATTGGACTTTGTTGCAAAATGATACATTACAGACAAATTCTGGCATTCCTTTACTGTGTGCAAGACTGTTCTTTGAATACAAGTACCGGTAATAGGATTCTCTTAATGGGCATCTTGCTTCTTCCGACACTAACTATGACACATTGCACCTTATTTTATGTACACCTTGTTTTGACTAATGAAGTCACCAAAGACAATATGAACCTAAACACCCAACGTGACCTTGCTATCTATTATAAAATCTACAGCTGAACGTTTTTGCAACCATGAATATTTTTAAAATGAAACAAACCTGGGTGAGCTTTTCTTTTAAATCTGGATCTGGAATGTCTTCCAAAGTAATATATTCCACTGCTGAATCTCGACTTCCAGTGCTTATATATGAGACTACAGCTCGAGAAATTCCTGGGACACCATTGCAGTCATTCAAGATGGCATGAAGAATCATTTTGCCTGCAAGGATGACCAAACCACCTGACAAAACATCATAATTGTGGATTGGTATTAGGTGCCCTGCTAGTCCTTCAAAAACATTGATAGCTCCACCTGGTCCTTGTTTCAATCTTTCCATCAACACATGGAAAAATTCCCTTGATACGCCACCTGCATCAATTCCAACCTCGTCTACAAATTCAACGCACAAACGTTTGGTTATGTCAAAACTGGGGTTTTTATATTTTCTGAGCATCTGCTTCAAAATATCTGTGTTCCTGTCCACAACTACATCACGATCACAACCAAATGGCCTTACAGCCTCCTCAGTAAATGCTTTGAGAGACTTTGCTGGAACCTTTGCTTTCGCCAGTGCTGCTAAGGGTGTATCCCAAAGCCACTCCTCATCTTCTTTGGTACTTTCAGTAGCTACGCAAGTGATGCCTATCAAAGAAAAAAGGCTTTAAATGACAGTTTTTCCTCTATATCCACCTGCTTGCTTATGCGCCAAATGCCTAATGTCTTGTTAGAAGAAATCTGACCTACCAGACAATTTTGCGAGCGTATGGTCTTAATGATGATGCTATTGCTTTCTTACAATCATACTTGACTGATCGTCAGCAAAGGGTCATGTTTCATGGGAAATTCTCTGAATGGTGTCCAGTCAAATACGGCGTACCTCAAGGTAGTCTACTTGGACCCCTGTTATTCAACATTTTTCTAAATGACCTAAACTTTGCTGGACAATCTCATCTTTGCGTCTATATGCTTATGATACTACAACTTATGCATCTAATCGTGACATCATCACCCTGGAAATCTCTTTAAACCAGGACCTTAACATTCTGGTCACCTGGTTTTCTCAAAATTATCTGATTGTCAACAGTATCAAAAGGCAAGGTATGATACTTGGTAGTCACACTCACATTCCTGAATTTTTCATTGGTGATACTAAGGTGGAATTGGCAAACTCTCTTAAAATTCTTGGGGTGACTATTGATAACAAATTGACTTACCGTGAACATATATCCAACATGCTCAAGAAAGTCTATGCCAAGATTGGTGTTCTCAAAAGACCAATGCCTCATAACATGTCCCTATCACTTTACAAGGCCTACCTGCTTCCTCATTTCGAATACCTCAGTCCACTACTTATTGGAATAAATAAAACATTGAGCTCTAAACTAGAGTCAGCCAACACTTAAAACTCTATTAAATCTAGGTAATAATCTTGACTATGATACTATATTATCCTTGAGTGATATGCAGTCTCTTGAACATAGACGCTATTATAGTTCTCTTGTTTTATTATACAAATGCATGCACTCTTATGGTCCACAATACATCAAGAACTTTTTTCAGACTCGTCATACAAAATATAATTTAAGAAGTAGGGGCATTAATCTGGAACAACCTGGCTATAATAATAAATTCTTTCATAATTCGTTTACCTATAAAGTTAGTCGCCTATGGAATAAACTACCTGCATATATTAAAACATCAACTAAATTTAGTGACTTCAGTAGTTACCTAAAGGCTTTTGACTTCAGCAAATTAGGGTCCACCTGTCATTGTAACTCTTGTATATATATTTTTTTAAATTAGTATTTATTTTCCATTTGTTTCCTAATCGTACATGTATTTCCTACCTTTCTCTAGTACCTTAAGTAATTTTAATATCTACAATTGGATTCTATTAACAGTTTTTGCACACTTATTGCTCTGTTCTTGATATATTTTTAATATATTTTATATAGTTTTACTTATAGATAGTTTTATAGTCTTATGTTTTAAACATGAGCCTCTGGCTCGGGCAAAAAATAAATTAATAATTTATGACCTACATCATTTATATTACACTGAAAGAAAAATACCGAAAGTTAACTAGGCAAATGACACCACGTACACTGTTTTATGCCTTGACACTGGGTGATAAGCTAGGATGGTCAACTGATAGTGACACATTACAGTTTTCATAAAATTGGCAATTAAGATGGAGAAAGACAAAAGAAGCAAACCAAATTATCAGAAATATTACTAAATATTATTCATCTGATGTATCCCAACATTATTTACCCTAGTGAAATACATACAAACACACCTGTATGATTTTCCTCAAGAAGTATGTTGATGGCTCTCTCAAAATCTGAACCAGCACTTTCCAGAGCCTTTTCAATTCGCTCCTGCTTTAAGTTAGGAAACATTTCTACCAGGACATCCAATTCCCTCTTTTTGGTTAATTCATTTGATGCTTCAGACTGACTCATGATATTTGTGGTATCTACATTACTAGAAGGTTGGTAAACATCAGAGGACGACATCTTTTCTTCCACAAGCAAATGTACATCAGTTTGCTGTAAGCTTGATGGTGGAGCAACGTCTTCATCTGTACAACTGGGACCTGGTTCGACAATAGGATTTAAGACAGGGAGCAATGTACTTCCTTCCAAGTAATCCCTGATGTCCTTGTCACTAGAAACCTGACTGTCATCATCTTCACTCTGAAATAATATATACCTATATTAAGAATAATTAATTAGATGCTAGAAAAATAGTAGTTTGATCTTTAAAAGACTTCATAACACGTTAAATGGATGTTAGAACTTTAAGCTGGCCAAGAAGGAGCATTGCGTTCATTCATCTTTAATACAGTATTCATAGGAATGAAAAGTCAAGTAACCTTTGTTAGAGAAAGTAGCATGTTATCCCTTGCCATGTATTATAGAGAGAGTATAATTAATTGTTTACCAGATAGCAAGGAAGATCAGACAAAAAGAAAGAGATGCTCATAAAATATTTCCATTCCCAGGAGAAGTGCCACAATATTTATATCATGCCAAATACGGTAAAGAAAGCTGCTGTGTACTGTATACTGTATTTCTGCACGATACGACAAAAAGTAAACATTTCAGTTGCTAAAAATTATTAAGCAATCACCTCTTTAGAACTCAGAACTTCCAATGCTCGTATATACAAGGGTCCCTGCCCTGATGTGTGTCATTACACGGGCATTCCTCTCTTGGCCTCTTGGTACTTGCACAGGCACAATATGGGAGCCAGAGCTCTTTACAAATTCAAACCTAATCAAAAAACTATAAAAGAAACTACTCAACCAGAGTGAAACAGTTTGATCACTCTCGTATTTTCTCTCGTAATACCGGATAGCTAAGAAGCAGAATATAGCGTTTGGTTTATTATTTAGTTGTCCTGTTAAATAATCTGCGTTATTATATGGCTAGCTCCATGAGTGGACAAGATGATCGAATCCTGCACTGTGATTGGCTACTTGAGGGGGCAAGATGGAGCTATGTTGCCTGCTTGGGACTACCCGCTGTGTCCCGCAAGAAAAATTTCAATGAACGTCATATAATAAATCCTTTATTGACCAAGCTTGTTCGGTCAAGGTGGCTGGATATTGGCCAAGTTCTTTTTTTGGCTCGAGCTCCATAAACACGCAAAAAAAGAACCTGGCCAATATCCAGGCATCTTAACCAAACAAGCTTAGTCAATAACCCATATTTCTTCTGCACAGTTAGCAAGAACTGGGCTTTTTTTACAATTACTCGCTATTTTTTAAAGTTCGTTTTGTACTGTAGTTTCAAACACCCCTCCTGTGATATTAACAATAGATGGAGGGCCTAGCCTAGATAGTTATGAAGTAACCCATAAATAAGTCTTCAAACTTAACCTCATGAATATGGAGGTCCATCACTTACCCAATGTCATTTTGATCCGGGCGTTCAAGAGCTTCTTTAAATAACGAGGCCAGTTCAGAGTAAAGACGTGCCTCACTCCAGTTTTTATCTAGTGGAAAGGCGTCAATGTACAGTCCTCGCTGGACTAAATTTCCCTTAGTGGCGCCTGGCGGCACTTGAATCCATTCAGGGTCAGGTAGTAAGCAGATAAGTTTGTAAACGTACTCGGTTGGGTTTTCGCCTCTTGCATTTGCGGTATAATTATTTCTTCTTCATCTCCAGGGCACCTGCTGACATTCCTTTGTACTGGGCTGTAGTTCTGTCTCGGATTGTACGCCGTCGAGGCTACAACCCTCGTTGAAGTAGCACTACGATTAGGAATTCCCCGGTGATGCCTCGGTATCTGAAACCTTGCATTAATTTCTTCTTCAGCGGAGGAAAATTCCGCACTGCTACTGTTCTCTGCCCTATTTGGGTTTCCCAATTGTGTCTGTAAATTAGTTATGGCATGTAAGACGGTGCGAACAAAATCTTGGACAGATCTAGATCTCGTGTTGTTTTCTGAGCTACTCTCCCGGTCCGCCATGTTGGTTAGAGAGAACAAACATTGGCGAAAGCGCGGGAAAACTAACGTCATTTGGACCGGACTTTATCACTTCCTGTTTCTGGTCATTTCTATTTCTGCTTCCTCATCTTTTAGTTTTATTGAACATCTTTTAGTTGTATACGGTCATGCTCGAATGTTTCGGAAAAGCGATTTATGCTAAACAACATTGATGTATAGCATTCGAACTTAATGTACTCCGGTCGAAATTGATTTATGTTATTTTCCAATTTGTATTATTACGCATAACAATAATGAATTTAACAAAACATTGATGTATTCACGTTCGAAATTTTGTCCGCAAAAAAGCCCCATACACCTCAGGTTCCTTAAAAGTCTTAAGTGATAATTAAAAACTACACTTTATTTGCATTTAATTTCTAGTTATAAATTAGACCTTGTGGGAAATTGGAGGACTCAATTACATATTGTTCTGTAAATTAAAAGCTACATAACTGCCAAGGTGCTGAGTATGAAGCAAATAACACTCACCTGACTCTCCTTGAGTGGAAGACAAATGTCTTCTCACAGCCTTCAAATCGACAAGGGAAGCTTTCTTGATGGGCACAATCTAACTCATGGATTTGCTGAACCAAACTGGCTACATCTGAGGGTACCACATATGTCTCAACATGCTTTTTGCAAATTTCCAGCAACCACTCCATTTTTTTTCTGGACTTTCATTCTCTTTTGGCATAACAATGGATAATGGCTTATCTGAAATTGAGGTGAGACAGAACTATCACTGTTAAATGTAATAAAAAATTTATTATGTTTTTTAATTAGAAGTATCTCTGTACCAGTGATGGGGAATGCCATAAATCCAGAAATATTACTTTCTTTTACCTGACTCAAAACAACACCTCTAGGATACCAATAGCCAAGTTGTGACACCTCAGGGTCAATTAAGTAAAACTCCATAAATTAGCCACAAACACTAGACTACTACTGCACTGTATTCAAGTCTTCAATTTGTTCATACACAGTGAACTAGTGTTGCTAATACTTAAACATTTAAATATTACCTTCTAGTTTGGACATCCCACACATCACCATAAATGATGCACATATATGAGCTGCAATCTCACGAGAGTGGGAATCCTTATACTCATTGTAATGAGTCTGGACACCCTTTGCTGCATTAAATTTGCCAGTACGGTTCATACTAGCTCTTGATGTACCTATTTCTGCTGCAGATTCTGCTTTCACAAACATGTCAAATTCAGTCTATGAAAAAAAATTAATATATATTATAATCATTATTGTTATTGACCATGTGCTGTTTTGATAATGGCTGGTGTCTGGTTTAACCTTTTGGGATATATTTCAAAATATCAAAAAATTATCAAGGGAAGGGGTTCACCTTGAAAAGAGTAACCTTTGCATGCCAATCTGCATGTTCTGGAGGAACTCCTTCCAGTCTTTCATAGCTGTTATGCCCATCTCGAAATGTCCATTCGACATTCCTCGCTCTGTCTTCAAATAACTGATCACCATGAACAGTTACAGTTGCAACAACCTCCTTCTTCTTGTCTGACACAAAGCATGGGACATAGTTGGACTGGTAGTCTTTTAGAATTTGAGCCATCTCTGCTGCAACATTAGGATTGTGAAATTCCATTCCAAGACAGCACTGAAAAAATGTAGTTTAAAACAGCATAAGTTACAAAATCTGACCAATGTTATGCAGGGCCAGTTATATAGAAGAAAAATCAGCTGGCCCTGATCATTTGAATTCTGCTCAATGTCCTGGACTTTAAAAGACCATAAACATTGGATTCCTTAAACAGTAAGATCCAAATTATAATTTTAATCATAATCAATACATTATAATAAAAATTTAAAATTTTATTTTTGTTTTATCAGATCTTGGGGGTACTTTGGAATTTTGAGGTGGGGATGCCGGGTGCCTCTGGGACCCTGGAACCCTTAGCCTATACCTGAGCTAGTTCACCTGCATTTTGCTACCCTTTCCCAGAGTAGATAGATAACCATACCCTCCACAGAAGGACGCATAGCCCTTTTATGCCAGTACCCCCCCTCCCCCGGCGTCGGGAAAGGGATGGTACATTAAAGGACTTACTGTTTCCGATTTTGTTGTCATTTCTGTTGAATATTTATGTGGAATGTGAAAAATCACATTTTTCCGGAACACCTTGAAGGGTGGCAGATATTTTGTCACAACTCGGCTCACAAGTACAGCCCACTGCCAAATGAAGTTTTCTTGGACAGCTGGATCAGGCAGAAGCTCAATGTACTGGAGGTCCTTTAATGACTTCTGCTTCTTGAAAGTCTCCAAAGAAGGATCCGATGCTCTGTCAACAACAGCAAATTGATGTGTCCAATGCAGAGAGCGGTTACAGTGCTCTTTTGTTTGGATTCGTGCACTGATGTTTAGGTCGATGTTATCACCCACAATCCTGTTAAATCATAATAGAGAGATTTAAGAGTCCTGCCCTATACGGAGAGGCTCCGCTGTAAGGTCCGACCTCTTTACTCTTTTTATATGCCATGTTTGACAGGAAAGGTATCCCCCTTGCAAATACTTTCAAGAAACAAATGTTAGCGCTTTCACAAGCCTAGTTTAGAACTTTGCATCGCAATTAACTGCTGTAAATGCTCTGTGTTAGTTTTCGTTTTTGCCGTAACCGTGATTCTAAAAACTTTCAATCATTTGCCGTTTTTTTTAAAGCTGAATTTAGATCATAAACATTTCTACAGCAGGAAACAAACTGGCCGCCTGTTTTCAATGTTAAAGATGCATGGTTTTGCGAGGTTTTTCGGGATGTTTATTTAAGCAAGCGATTCAACAAAAAACTTACTTGAAAAAAGGAAGCTTTTTATTTTCCCAGTCGCTTGGCTGTTTCATCAAGTACCTCATTAGTAATTGTTTTCTCGCCAAGGCTTTGACGAGACTTCTCCATGAGCTCCATTGTTTGCATATAATTTTCAGCACTATACCACTTGTAACTTCGGATTGCTGCTTCGCTCACGTAAACATCTATAATCAGGTCCATGTCACCGTCCTCTTTCCCCCAGAACCTGCTTTTGCCAGATTTCTTCGACCAGCAGCTGGACGCATTTATTACCCTCGATCTTCTTCCACGACATGATTGCCTTGGCATCAAAGTTTGCCCCCATTTTCTGCTGCAACGCGACAATCATGTCTTGAGACATGCATATACCTAGATGATTGAGTCTGGTGAAGTCCTTATAGCTCACACCACCATGGAATAACACAATAGAGATCATGTAGGCTGCTGTGGACGGTAAAGCTGGCAAAAATCAAAGATGGAGCTGTTTTTAGAAAAGTCAAACACAGCCCCTTAATGAGGTTTTTTTAAAACTGACAAAATTCAATTACTAGTATTACTCAATTCCACAGTGTCTTGACTCCCAGGAATGCCAGTAAAGATTGCAGGGTCGAGTATTCTGGCAACCTCCTGTTGCGACTGGCTTACAATGTCCACGCTGGGCCCTGCACTGTCTGAGTTGTCCTTTGAACAAGAAAAAAAACATTATTTGTGTTAAAAATGTCTTACAAAGTTGTGAATTGCCATTAGCAGAGTAAAAAATATCTTACCTTTCATGAAGACCAGCAGAATTTGAACTTTCAAATGTCATCATGTTTTTTTGCCATCACTTTCATTTTGTTTGTCACATGAAGACACGAAAGTTTCAACTTGCACCTGTGTACATAAGACAGCTCACCTCATCTGCTAAGAATCCATTTCCTGTCTGGCATGTCTTTCTTTTCTCTTGACACTTCCTGTTATATCTTCCCTTTTTTTTTGACCTGTAAGGATTAACAGTATTGCATGGAGGATCAACGCATTTATGGAAGTAATATAATTATTATCGTTTAAGGCTCTTTATAAGATTACCAGGATGTAAAACCGGTCGGGTTTTACTAGACAAGTGAAATACAGGTCTCCTGGGATACTACTAACATGGAAGACTCTCTTGCACAAATTATATACATATAAACTCAAAAAATGAGGTAACGAAATGGGGTTACTTATCTTTAAACCTAGAGACCCTTACTGACTCCCAGGGGGGGCGCATTCCAGTGCACTAATCTTCACTGAAAGCATACTTAAAAACCTTCCTTTCTGGAAAGGTTGCAAGTACCTTACAATGTGGTAGTTACCTGTTCTACTGTTTTCCGTTCTGCAGGGTTTACTGCATTAATAGCATCTGCCACCTTCATCCATGCCTCTTTCTTTTTCTCATTTGTCACAAGATTGGAAAATTTGCTCTGCAGAATGTACTAGACAGAGAATGTAAAAGCTTGTTACACAGATTTTCCAAAACTTTGCTGACATATGTGTGTGACCCCTACATTCATTTTAAGAATTATTTGTCTATGTATATGAATCATGACAACACAGTTCTACATTTCCAGAGAAAGCTTGCTTCCTGAGTGACGTGACTATACAGGGTTAAAGTTAAAAATATTTAGAATGACTGCTAAAAACTACCAATGACCTCTTAGCAAGTTAATTATCAAAACTTTAAAAAAGAAACAAGACCAACAACATCATTTAAGGCTCAACTTCACTTACTTGATGCTTTCCATAAGCTTCTACCAGGGCATCTGTCATGCCTAGTGTAAATTGCGAACTTCTTTGTTTTTTTTCCGGCAGACATCTTTTCAAAAACGTACATGCAAACTGACAGAGTACCAAAAAAACACGATAAAATTTGGCAACTAATAATAATAGTAGACATGTGGAAATGTAAAAGACATTAATTGACTAGCTGTAATAGGAACATTTGTCAAAAATATATTCGTAATTTTATCATTGATAGTACCTAATCAATTTACCATAATTAGTAGATGTAATAATTATTGTAATATTATTTTAATTTTTTAACAGATGTAGAGTGGTGCAGCAATGAAAATGTTGTCAATAAACGTTTATTGGTTTTTCTTCAAGCATGCTTTACTTTACCTAAAGTAATTAATGACTTTATAATAGGACTTAGCTTACTAGGTAAGTACGAGTGCTTTGCTCCTGGCCTAAGTGAAACGGCTGCTTCTTGAGTTTTCCTTAACAGATATCTATTTAATTGCATACGCTTAAATTTTCAAAAATGTCACGGAATGTTTCATGATAATCAATTCATTTTAAAAATTGCCCAACTATTAAGTTTTTCTGCATGAACGCTGCATTTGTTACAGTTAAGCTTAATCTCTTTAGTGGTTGTGCTTTTATGAGGCTTAAGCTCATTTGTTTATTTTCACCTGTGACATCCTTTGCGAAACGCAGAAGCAGTACGAAAAAGGTTGAAAACCAAGAACTGAAATACAATTTAATTTGGTTAATAACTAATAACTGCAATAAACAATTACAAAGAATGGCTATGATAACTGATTGATAAAGTATAAATAAATAAAAAAATCTGTACATACCTTTAAACACCACAAAACCTTATTCTGCACCACAACCGGCCACTGGATTGGCGAACGTACAATATGCGGCAACATATTTTTTCCCGCACAAACTGAGGGCAGCATGCCAACCAAATGGTGGTCACGAACTCCATCATACAGAAAAGCACATTCATTTTAATGCATCAAATAGCACTTACCTGAAATATCAATATACTTACCTCTCAGCCTTGTGTCTTCTGAAAAAAATTAAACCTGTAACCTCCAATTCGCACATCCATGGAATTATTATCAGCATGAGAATAGCTCAACAATAACTGTAGCTTATCGATGGCGAAAGGCAAACATGTCGAATCGAACTATTGAACGCAACTGATTTGTGGTCATCGTCAATTATCGCTTGTAAATTATATGATAATGCATAAAAATGACCTCTTGGTTGCTCTCCTTTGAAACAACGATGACCCCAAAGTTAAACCTAGAACATGTTGCATTGTCCTTCGAATCGAAACACAAAAAAACGGTCCGCTCGAACAGTCTCACAAAGCGAATGATTCGAATGAAATAGAGTTCCAACTCGTTCTCCTTCTCCTGTGGACGGCCGTAAAGTGACCGGGCAAGAGTCTGGTAACAGCCTGCTAGTTTTTCAGGTCCCCGGTAAGTACCGGGAAAGTTTACAGGTGCTTCGAGAAACGCAACTTCGGGCCCGATAAAGTTTCCTGATAAAGGACCCGGTAAATTAACGGGCCCGTAAATTACCGGGACTTTCGAGAAATGGGCCCATGGAATAGTTCCAAGAACACACGGTAACACTTCATGACTGCCTAAAAACACCCTTAATCATGAAGTCTTGGACCGAACCGTCACATTTATAAAAAACTTTGCTACTGACCACGCAGTTGCCCTTTTAGGAAGACTCCAAACTTTAAGAATTTGAAAGTTCAGCTGCTTCTGAAAGCAAAGCATCCGTCTGGTGACAGCACAGAAAGGTATCAGAAGAGAAACATTTCAAAGCAGTAAGCAACAGCAAATTTGTCGCCCTCTGGAACACTTTCACGGCATATATCGTAGCAATGACTCCCGCATCTGATCTTTGCAGTCTTTGCCAGCTTAATAATGCTAAAATCAGTCAAAATGTCAATGTGAGCAAGCATGAGAAATTGAAATGTCTCAGTGATCAAGAAACGCATCTGCAAGAAGCAAAATCAGAGTGGGATTTTATGAAAAGAAACATTGCTGCATGCAAAGACGTGTTACAAGACAGCATAATCGACCTCTTGTCACCCAGGCCCAGTTGTTCGTTGAAAGGAACTATACATTATTCATATGATTATGCTCAACAAGTACACATTCCCTCCAGTCCACAACAACCTGGACCCATTAACTTTAAAACACCGCAGAAATGTGGCTTGTTTGGGTGAATGGCGGTAGCATGGCGAATTGGTGGTGAACATGAAAGTGAATTGAACCTATCATATCCACTTAATTTCCGACTTAATTCATAGTGATGGATGCGAAAGGTTATCTGAATGTCAATGACTTACGGAAAATTTGGAAGGAAGAATTTTTGCCTAGTATTAAGCGTGAATTGAAAAGCGAACTCGAAGCACTCAGAACAAGCATTAAGACCTTGACAGCACGTGTTGACGGGATAGAGAAATCTCAGTCCTTTATATCGGAAAAGTACGAGTCTGTTCTAAAAACGCTCAAGTCATTGAACCAAACAACAAACACGCTGGGGAAAAAGGATGCTGAGCTGACAAAGATCACCGACAGCTTGGCCGAGCGAGCTAACCGTGTGGAGCAGGCAGTCTGTAGAATTGAATGTGCAATCGATTAAGTCCAACAATACTCTCGAAGAGACTGTCTGGAAATAACGGACATTCCAATACTGCCGAAGGAAAATCCAAAGCAGGTTATCAAAGAGATTGGTACTTTAATCGATGTAAATGTTGAAGATGCTCACCTAGCAGCAGCTCACTGGCTTCCGGACACCAAGAATGTGAAGCATCGGTTGATTGTCATGTTTGTACATAGCGATAAAAGAGAAGAAATGTACAAGAAACGCAGGAATCTAATTGGAAAGAATATTAGCAACTTGCCGTCCGTACAAGCCGCAATGGGCCTCGCTGCTACAAGCAACAATAAAATCCACATCAATGAATCTCTCACAGGTTGTCGCAAACAATTCTTTGGCCGTAACAATGACTTCAAGCGGAAGAACTACAAATACCTATGGACTGCAAATGGGAAGATCATGCTGAACGCTCAAGATTCTTCACAAACCAAATCTTTTGTTACACATGAGGAATTTGAAGACTACATCGAACAGATAAGCAATAACTCGTAATTCTTTTTTTCTTCCCTACACTTGTGTGCCCTATAATAATATTTAACCTACAGACACAGACATATTCAACCTCAATCATCCCCAAAATAGCCTGCAAGCTTTACCTTTTCATGACCTGGATAACAGAGAAGTTCATATTTTAGATGGATCCTGTCACTTGCAGATAGATAATTTAAAAGATTTAGATTTATATAATTTGCTACCCAACCCTGTTAAATCTGATGATGCTGACCCTGATCATGTATTAATTAACCCTCAATCTGATTGCTATGATATTTCTAGTTTGAATAAGGTTCTAAGTAAATCAGGAGCGAAATCCTTCTCATTTCTTCATTGTAATATTAGAAGCCTGTCAAAAAATATTGGCTTGCTTGAAGATATGCTATATTCTTTAAGTGAACAGCCTGATGTATTAGGAGTTTCTGAAACCAGGCTAAATGCAAATACCACTTTTAATACTGAGTTGATTAACTATAACATCTACCAAGCTGATTCTCCCACCCCAGCGGGAGGGTTGCTCTTTATGTCAGTAAAGCTTTAACCTCATTTCCAAGGTCAGATATAACTTTGGATATGCCTCTTGTGGAATCTGTTTGGGTTGAAATAGCTACTCCCAAAAACCAAAGACCCATCTTGGTTGGCTGTATCTACAAACATCCAGGTGCGAATATTGATGAATTAAATGGGAAGCTTGACGAAACAATGAAACTATTTAACTCAAACAAGTACCAATTGTATATCCTTGGTGATATGAATATAGACTTTTTTAAATGTGATAGTCACCCACCTACAGAGGCTTACCTTGACATGCTGTATTCCAATAATTTATTACCAATTATTACTAAACCAACACGTCTGACCTATCATTCAGCTACATTAATTGATCATATCTATGCCAACAGTACATCCAAAATTGTCTCTGGTATTGTAATAGTGGATATCTCTGATCACCTCCCAGTTGTCGGTGTTACAAATATACCAGTTAAGAAACACAACCCTATTAAGTATTATCGAGATTACAGCAATTTTGATCAAGAATCTTACTTACAGGATATCAATGCGGTCAACTGGAATGCTATCTTAACCTGAGATCAGGCCCAATTTGAGCGGTTCCCATACATTCTCTCTAACGGCTACCGCTGAAATTGGGCCTGATACAAACTATTACAAGTTTGTGCTCGTTACGGCCAGATTTTGGCCGTAACGCTGATTGGCTGTTAGAACAATGCCAAAAGATCTGATTGGCTGTCGGAAACGCCGGAAGTTGAAAGCGCTTATTCCTCGCGTGGTTGTTTTCGTGGATGATCCGTTGTCAGTGGAGAGAAGGATCGATTTTCCTGTCTTTTTTATTGTTTTATGGTCTTATGGTAGGAAAATATGCCTTAATATGTGCCATGGGAAATTAATGTGGTTGTTCATATCTTCTCAGGATTTGCTTTATTTACGGAAAGTGAGTGTATCGCAGAGTTGAATCCCTCTACAAGTTGTTGACCGCTAACAACGTGCATTTTGATTTACCAACAAACGGGTGCAAATCAAAATACTGTCCATCTTAAAACTGGTTTCATTTGAAAGTTTAGCCGGGAATGACTTCTCTGAATGGGGTACGCAAGCGGAGGCTCACTGCGAAAGAAACCTCAATCGCCAACTGTGAAGTATTAGACGAAAAATATCGCATCGCTGTTCAAGGAATTTCAGTGTTCACAGACTGGTTGTTTTACTACGCTTTTTGTTACAAAAAAAACCAAGAAAACTGATGTCCTCGCTCGTTGGCTGTTTGCTTTTGTTTTTAAAGATTTATGTACTGAAACTCGGGGGAAATTGCCAAGGAAAATATCAAGACAACGGAAAAATAGGGATTTCAGTATTTTAAATTCCAGAGCGCCTAGCCAAAATAAAAACTAGTAGAACATCGTGTTACCTTCTAGGCCAACAGAAGTAACCTTCGAGATCTCCCTTAATCTCGCAAAAAGTTAAATGTGATTGTGCTGACTGTTTTATTTTTAGCTGAAAAAATTAACAGATAAAAGCTATTTTTAAGTCAGCCAGTCTTCATTTTTCCCACGCGTGAAAAATTTGCATACTAGAAAAACAAGCACTGGAAGTAATTTTGATTGGCTGATACGGCAAATGTCAATCAATCAAAAAAGTGGGCAGCAGACGTTTCTTAGAAGGTTTGTATCAGGCTCTCTTTTCGTTTCGCCTTGCCCGCCGGAATATAATTTTCAAAGCGAAATGAAAATAGAGCCTGATCTCAGATTAATGCTATCTATAATAATGATCTGCATGAGACAGTTACTAAAATAACTGACCTGATAAAATCAATTGCAGATAAACATGCACCAATTAGGCAATTGTCCCAAAAGAAACAGAAATTATGTACTAAGCCGTGGATAACTAATGGTATTCTTAAATCAATCAAAACTAAGCATAAATTATACAAAACACACTTTCTTTCTAACAATCGAATTAAGGTGACAGAATATAAAAAGTATGCTAACAAACTGAATTGGCTTAAGAACATTTACAAAAAGAACTACTTTTCACAACACTTTGACCTATGTAAAAACAACCTGAAGTTGAAATGATCATAAGTCATCCTTAGATATTCCTAATAAATTAATTAAAATAGCTGCCCAGCCATTGTCAATACCTTTAACATATATCTATAACCAGTCTATTGAAACTGGAATTGTTCCTGATATTTTAGAAGTCTCACAAGTTTCCCCAGTGTATAAGGGTGGTGATGCTACAGACCCTAGCAACTATCGGCCCATAGCAACTCTCTCACCTTTTGGTAAAGTGCTCGAGCGTCTAGTCTATAATCAGTTATATTCGTTCACAGATAAACATCAAATCATGTACAAATATCAGTTTGGATTTAGGAAAGGATATTCCACTGAACAAGCTATTCTTGAAATTACTGACAATCTGAAGCTAGCTACTGACAAAGGTCAAATAACATGTGGTTTATTTCTCGACCTATCAAAGGCATTTGACACAGTAAATCATGAAATACTGCTCTCTAAACTATATCTGTATGGAATTCGGGGTACACCACATAATTGTTTTGAAAGTTATTTGCACAATCGAAGACAATATGTTAAAATTGACTGTACTAAATCTAGCTATGAAAATATTACGTGCGGTATACCCCAAGGCTCAACTCTAGGTCCTCTTTTATTTTTGCTCTATGTGAACGACTTACCAAACTGTGTCAACAAACTTTCGGTACGGAGCGTTGCTGCTGACACCAATTTATTTTACTCTAAAATAGCTTGAATCCGTAATGAATCAAGAGCTTAAACAAATTTATAACTACTGTGCTCTAAATAAGTTATCTATTAACACTGCAAAGACCAATTACATGTTAGTCTCATCATCTAGATGCCACCCAACGATAAATATCACTAGTATTGAATAGAAAGATTACATAAAGTACTTGGGAGTTTATATAGACAAACATCTCAATTGGCAACCACAGATACGACATGTAAATAATAAATTAGCTAAAAATTTAGGAATCCTTTCAAAACTAAGATATTACATTGATCTGAATATACTGAAACAAATTTATTATGCTTTTTAAAACATAATAGGGATATATTAAAATATATCCCTATTTGAGTTACGGTATTCTTGCTTGGGGCTGTGCCAGCAAAACCACATTAGATTGTCTTCGTATTAAACATAATAAATGTCTCCACACCATCTTCTTTGTACATCCTAGAGAGAGTGCTGCTCCCTATTTCAAACTCCTAGCAATCCTTAAATTACATAATATATATAAATTAAAAATATGTTGCTTTATGCATAGAATGAGAAATGAGACTGATAGCATTCCAGACATTTTCCTTGATGTCCTGACTCCAGCATTGCGCATACACAACCATAATACAAGATTTGTCAGTAATCTGAACTATTTTAGGCCAAGAGTATCCACCAACTTAGGTAAGACGTCCTTTAAATTCTGTGCTCCAAAAATCCTGTCTTCTAACCAACCAAATCTGACCTTGCTTATATGTTTTATCACTGATATTATTTGAGATTTTATTCCTCTCCTTACTGCTGCCAATTATTTCAATATGACGGTGTCCAACAAGAAAGCTCTAGCTACTTTGGACACCGTACACAAATGAACTTAATATCTTTTAGTTAATTATTATTTGTAGCTACTTTATTTTCCTACTATGTACACTTATGTAAATATCTTGTATAGTGTGACTAAAGAATTGAATTGAATATGTTGTGAGGGAATACCCAGACACGTCAACTACCTAATTGATAAGGCAGTTGCTACAGGGAAGGGGGCCAATGCAACAATTAGCTATGTCCATGACTTTTTCAACTTTCATGGGCCTGGAGAAACAGATGCACAGATAACTGTTGGGCATCAGCGTACGGGGCGGGGGGAGCTGGGGGGACTGCAGTCCCCCCTGTCGGAAAAAACATAGTATTATTCAGGCAAAACTGATGTACTGTTCGGGCAAAGACACAGTAAAAAATATTTTACTATTTAATATCTTCATTTATTTGTTTTCATCCCGCATCTCGCCTAATCTTCTAACTGATCTCTGTACTACTTCACTGGATGGCTGTTATTACTTGGAGTTAGAACACTGAGTTCTGCCAAGGGACTGGGAGTGATAATCAAGACCACACTGGAACTGGAACTGTGTATGAGTTGGCGGCCATGTTGATTTATGTTAGTTCTTGAGTGCATGTGCATGTAATCTGGTGGATTGAAGTATGTCTTTGTCGAAGTCTCATAAAAGATCATATCGATACCGTGCAACCTCGTGCTCTGCTGAAAGGTCTTTCAGCACCCTTTGCTGCATCAAGACATTTTTAAGATCCACAATGGGACAAGACCGTCTTAGCAGTATCGCCGTTATAACATTGAAAGAAAGTATGCAAACAAAACAATGCAGAATGACATGCAAAGGATTATTGACATATTTGGGTGTTGAAGTAATCGTTCGTCATACTTCTTTTAGAGCTCAATTTTCTTTCCTTTTATTTTTAATACTTCAACGCTCACTCAGAGCTCAAATGGGTACGTTTTATCTCTCACTTCATGGTTTTGTATTTTAGAAATGATCATCTCGATTTGCCAAAAATATTTGCACTATTTTGAACGCCCGTGTTCTCACGGCATGGCGAAGAAAACTTGACATCACGAAAGAATCATCTTGTGCATCTGTGACCAACAAGTTTCATTCGGGCAAATTATGTTCAGCCCCCCAACAAAATTTTTCCCATACGCCGATGTTGTTGGGGCCAAAACAAAAATAATTATGTTATCTGGTATTATTGCTGGCGCATTCTTTGTGGACTTCACAATTCCATTTTATATTCATTTTTAATTGCAAGGCATACTAAATATAGTCCTGACTGGTGCTTTGGATTAGTTAAGCAGTCGTTTAGGAGGCGCTACGTTTCTTCCCTTTTTGACCTTATGGAAGCTGTAGACAAGTCAACAGTCAGTGGTGACAATGTCCCCAAATTGTGTGGTCTTCAAGACGGCACTGTTTTAGTGCCAGTATATGACTCAGGACAACTCGGATTAATATTAATCCGTGGATTATAATAATAATAGATTATAATATGGTTATTATAATCCGGTAATAGATTATTACAATCCAGTAATAGATTAAGGGACGGCAAAAATTGGAAGGATTAGATTATTATTAATAATAATCATCCGGATTAATATTAATCTCTATTATAATCCAGATCAGAGCTATGACAGACAAACTGCAGACATTACACGCTGAACAAGGGACTGACGGGACATAACACTGATCACATCAGTCACACGATCACTTGCATATGTTAGAGCTGGTAGCGATGTTGAGCGTAGAAATGAAAAGGAACAAGCGCCTCTGGGCCAGCGAATCTGTGCGGTGGACATGTGTTTTTACAAGAAAGGGGACCTTAACAAAGGGAATAACTACCAGCTGTGTAGGAATCGCGACAATCCCAAAGACACTAACTGTTTTGAGGTTCGGAGCCGCCATATCACGATGGCGACTATGAACATGAATTTCTCCCGTCTCTTGTCGCCCTTTGTGGATGAAAATATTATCTGGGAACTGACATGGTAAGTATATTGTATGTGATGTTAAGTTCACAAAAAAAATATTTCAGCTGTTTTAACAATTAATTATGGTGGGGCACCATGTTCATAGCTTTGCATTTATTCCTAGCTTAGTGGTTGAAGATGCAAAGTGGAGTAGGGGAGATTCTGGTCGACCAGCAAGAGCTCACAAGGAACGCGTGGTGTTTAACGTTAATGAAAGGGATGCCGAGCGAGTAGAAAACGCTTTCAGTGACTTTGAAGTGAGAAGATCAGAAGCATGAACACTGTAAAATCTGTCGATGATGTTGTTGTACAGGAAAGTAATGCACTGTAATACATGTAAACTGAATAAAGCAAAATTCAGAATTAAATTAATGGTGTCATTTAATTATCAATTCAGTTAATTCTACAGTTTGCAACATAATCTACATCTCTTGACAGGAAGAACACATGGCAAATATTCCTTATACAAAAGCCTACACGCCAAACATAAACAAGCGAATTACCAACAAACAGATCCGCCAAACTGAACAAAACAGCTAAAGCAGGAAGAACTTCCTAAACATCTTACAAAATCGCTTGACACTTTTTACGCTAGCTAGCGGGAGTGTTCAAGATTCCGAGTGCTTATTCTGTTGTTTCCGGTTGGTTGCCATTGCCACTGGTGCTATCATCCCCTGTTGTTGCGTTTGCCGCCCCGCCATTTTGTCGCTTATTCTTAAACCACGTGTGAATGTTATTTACAGTGATTTTCTCTCGATGCTCCCTAAAGGACCCCTGGTTTAGTTCATCAGCATATTTCTTTAGTTTTTTCTCATCAGCACGGCCGTGGTTAGCTTGATACCACCACTGAAGCTTTGGAACTTCAGTGATGGGATCATAAGCAACTCGGCATTTCTTCGTGGGAGGTTCACTCTGTTCACTCCGTTCAGAAGAGTTGTATCGTCTGAACCACTGCTTGAAAAGCATTATTTTCTCTCGCCCAATTTTACCTCTGTATTTGTCGTTTACAATCTGCGATAGCAAGCCCTAGAAGTTGATTTTAAGCAGCGTTAGTAGAGCATAAAATTAATCTCGCCACCAGGGATTGAACTGATTGAAGAAAGCGCTGATTAATATTTCAGATAAAGTGCGACCAACCTGGGTCAGAGGCGACTCCCTGGAGAGACTCTGTTGGGTGAAGTTTCCACTTTGTAAAAGGTCTTTAACAGTACTTTTCACCTTTTCTTCATTCCATGGACTGCTAAATTTGAAAAGAAAATGCTGGTTTCAAAACAGTCGGATATGAAAGTTTCAGTATATAGCAATCCAGGAATTTTTATTTCAGTTTAACATTTACTACCGTTGACCTTTCTCACCTGTCACTTGTTTCCGGATATGTGGAAACTTGGATTTCCATTTCCAAATTTCCAAAAGCCTTCTCAATCGTGTTCTAGTTCCCAAACGAGCTCAAAGGAGTGAAAAGATCCCAATTCGAGGCTTTTGCCTTTACTATAACAAGGAGAATGAAGTAAACAGTTCAAGAGGAACGGGGAACAAAACCAATTTTCTGCTATACAAAAGCAATTCACAAAGATTCGGTAATTTTGTACCTTGTCCGATGGTCTCCAACTCAAATTTGTCCTTTAACACTTGCAGCAGGTTTTCAAGCACGGTGTTTTTGTCTAAAGTTGTATTTTGCTCTGTTCGAGAATCTGTCCCAATGAAAAGTTGGTAGCCATAATTCCCGCATGCACAACAACAAGCTGACTCAAATTATCTGCAGTCAATGTGACACACAGATATTACGCGTGCCCACCTAGGGTGAACAGCTGTAAGTCCGCGTTCTGTCAACCTCGTTCCGTGTCATGCTCTTTGCGAGTGACAAAATAGCACAGTCAATTCAGTCTTCTTGTATCAGTTATCTGACTTAACTATAGCAGCACTTTGCCTCTGCGAGAACAAGTTTTGTCAATTGTATTTGGGAGTATTGAAAAGCAAACTATGCTATTGACGTTTTGACTGTCCAAAGCAGAACATGTCACAAAAGAACCTGACAATGTGGTCTCTATACACGGTATACAGCTGTCTTTGTATACTTGCAATTTCACGAATAGTCGCAAGTATGGATAATATGGAGAGTGACAAGAGCAAACCGAAAAGCTACCAAGAAGGAGTGGATAACAATATTGCTGCATTAAACGATGAAATTTGTCAAAGGATTCATATAATATTGTAAAAACAAAGCAAGTTCTTATAATTGTTGAGGACGGCCTGAAGCTTCAGTGTGCTTGTGGAACATTACTGACATATGGAAAGTTTCACAACACAGAAAAGAAGCTTTCATTTCATATGGCGCACATCAGAGATCACTTGTGCTCCTCTAGGCATGGCCTTGCACTGGGCTGGACGTACCAGAACGGTTAAGTAGAGCGGTACATGCACCCTAGTGCTAAACGTGCTTTTGGTGCCGATGTAGAGCGCTCAAGGAATCTGATAAGGAAATTTTTCGGTGCTGCTTGCAGTGACGTAAACATGACCAACAGCAAGGACAAAAGGGAAAATTCGCAGAGTTTTAATAAGTCGCACTTACAAAAACAAGGAGGTGCTAGCCAGAATATAGATACAAGAACTTGTCCAGCTTCAAGAGAAGTGCATCATGCTGTCGAAGATACACAAAAGAAACGAGAAATAGCGATCATAGAAGCCGGCGTTTCCGAGAGATATATATCCAAGGAAAAGAACATCAAAGCCCTTTGTCAGAGACACAATGTTGAATTTCAAGGCGGTAGATTGAACTGTGAAAAAGTGTTCAACGAAGTGCGGCTTTCAGTTACGGAGGCAGAATTACTTGAGGAACGAATTGAAAATTCGCAACTTTTGCGGAAACGGAAACAAGATGACTGCTTGCTGAGTTCTTTGCCAATGGATATTTCAATTCAAATTGACACTGCAAAACGTCAAGCGCATTATGTTCAACTTTGTTTTCAGTACCGTGATGTTATGGAAAAGTTGTACTGGCAAGACAACAAGCTCCTAGCAAACGAACTTGAATGTGGTCGAATGAGTAGCAACCTTTGTGAAAGCCAAGCTTCCGAAATTACTGTTGCTCAGGCCGTGGAGTTACAATGCAAGGTTGAGTTACTAGAGGGAAGATGTGAACTTATCCAGGCAAACGTGGACATTATAAAAGAGGATTACCTAAAGAAAATTGACGCGATTAAACGAGTTTTTGAAAAGGATCAGTTGCTTAAAAGTAAGTTCCAGGTTGGTTTATACTACCCGATCATGGCCCAAAAAGTCTAAAACGTTTGATTCAGTTTTTTTTTTTTCAAACTAGTACCATTTTTTTCTATATATTTTTATAAACTGCCATTTGGCGGGCAAGTCTTCTTCTATATGCCTCCAAAATATATAAAATCAAACAGCCTTAACAGTGGCTCGCCAGAGTATAAAATCTGAATCCTAACTCTTTAAAGTTTCTCCTCAATTCATTGCTGTTTGTAAACTTTGGGGTTATTGAAACTATATGGCCTCTGACCCAACGTATACTACCTTTTGAGCAAAAATCAATCACTAACGAACACAGCAAAACCTTTTTGTGTGTTACTAACGCTAATCTGTCTTTTACAATGCTACAATAGCTTACCGCTAAACGTAAACGCCATATGTTTAATACTGTATTCCTATTTTTTAAAAAACGCATGTAATCTCTTTCAGTGCTGGAACAGACCGTCGATGACGCGGTCAAAAAATACAAAAGCATTCCCGACTATCTTCAACACGTTGCAGTTTCAATAACTAATGGCAAAATGGATGATAGACTGGTCTTAGTGAAATTCCTGGAAGATCTTGGCAAGTATTGTCTGCGTGGAAGAACTAAGCTTTCCGAAGAAACTCTTAGTGTATTTGCTGCTGTATTCAATTTAGCCCGGCAGCAGCAAGGACATTTGCATTGAATTTGTTTGGACCTTGTGACTCCCAGGTTCGATTATTTAGCAAAAGGTCTGTTGCTGTTGAATTTTGCATTAAGGAGGAGACTTTGAAAGCTGCTGCAAATTATTACAAATCCTGCAAATACAAAGGCCCATTTGAAATTGCAATGGATGCCACTGCAGTTACTGCTGTTGTAAGAATGGATTTGAAATAGAGAATTCCAATTGGTTTTGTTGAGGGAGTCGAAGGTCAGTGTCCTGTAACTACTGGTCAAGACCTTTACAACCGTTTTTTCCCAAATGGTCAACCTGCTAAACGTGCAGCACAGGGAATGCCCATTCTTCTTCAGCCACTTCAAGAAGGCATCCCAGCATATCCTGTCGGCATTATACCTGTGAGTGGTAAAGAGAATCGGGACCATATATCTCGATGGTACGAGACAACGTGTGAATTTGCACTTAATAGTGGATTGAGAGTAATAGGGCTTGGTGCCGATGGATGTTTGCTGGTTCGATCATATTACTCAACTAATTGCCGAACTACTGATTTGACGTGTATTCCACCTGATTCATATGTGCTTACTGGCGGTGCTTTAAAAATACCATTCACTGGAACGAGCAAGTGAACTTCATTTGCTTTTCTGATCCAAGACACCTTCTGAAAAAGTTTCGGAACCCAATGTTATCTCTGAGTAGGGTAATGGTTATTGGGGATCATCTTGTAGATTTAAATGATCTGCGACTCACTTTCAAGCATCTTCAACTAGAATGTGGCGTATATCGGACTGATTTTGATGTCAGTGACAAGCAAAATGTGGATGCTGTGATGAGACTCATTGGTGAGAGTTGTTTTCATGCGCTTGCAAAACTTGAAACTCTTAATCCATCCGTTTGTACACTTGCAACGAGAACGTTTTTGAAGTACGGAAAAATGTTTCATGATGCATTCTTCAAAAGGAGTCAAATATTGGCGAACGATTATCAAATGCTTTCCAGTTTCTATATTTCCTTGAGGTGAGTAAAGCATTTACCAGCTCAACAAGCAATAGTTATACGTGGAAAAAGAATGGACTTACATCAGAGGAAATGCTGCGGGACATTCGGTTTGCGGTTTCTTCATTAGTGTTTGGATACCTGGACTGCGTACTTTCCTCTTTTGATGGTGGATATCATCCTTGGATGTATGGTAGTGATTCGTACGAGCGGTGTTTTGGAACATGTAGGACAATGCGAAATATAAGGGAGTTGAATTTGCTGGACTTAAGAAATTCAATTGAACGATGGTTTTTTCAAGAAACATTGAGGAAAAATAGCAATATCCAAGTTAATCGTCCTAACAGCAATAAAGGGATGAAAACAACAACTGACATCCAGAACCTGTTATGTGAGAAAGACTTCCTTCTTCTGGTGAATGAAGTTTCTAAGAAGTCGTTGGAGAATGTTTCCACAATATTTCGACTTAAATTCACAATTACTCCCATACGAGTTTTTGAAACGCTGCTGTATAAATGTAACTGCTATGAGTGCTACAGTGCTACCAGAGACGGAAAAAAATCGAAGAAGCAGAGGAAAAACATTTGACAGATCAAATGAAAAAAAGGAAGAGAAAAGGAAGCGAGCTGAAAATCCTGTGAACATGCGCCACGGAGAGCTCGTAGAGGAATTTAAGAAAAAACTTGGATGTGTCCTATGGAAAACAAAGGCTAATGAATACAAAGAATATGTGAAAAATCTAAGGGCTGGACAGTTTTTCAGTGTAGCTTTTAAAGACGGATTGCAAGCTGGAATCCGGGTGAGTGCAGCACCAGAAACAATAATTGGAGGAGGCTGGATTGTTGAAGCTGTCGAACAGTTGGCATCATTCTCCCAGATTAGAGATGGCGACATTCTTGTTAAAGTGAATGACAAGGCATGTATAAAGTATCGTTATCAACGCATACAGGATATGTTGTCTGCAAGGTCACTTGCCAACCTAACTCTAGAGTTCTTCCGTCCAGCTGAAATTGGTGCCAACACTTCAGTCAATCATACGTCTTCGTGGATGCCACCAGCTAACCCATCAACAACAATGGCTCCTTCTATGACACCAATCCTGAAACCCAGTCCTCTAACACAAACTCCTACTTTAAGTCCAGCATATACGCAGACGGTCCAAATCATGAAATGCTCCCTGGGAAATAACTATCTCTATGGATCAAACTCAGAAAGACTGCGTCTTTTAGAAATAACTGGAAAAGATTCAAGGATTTCCTTTGATGATGTGCACACTGACATCCCTTTCACTTTGTTATTTTTTTAATTACTTAAGATCTTTATTCTATTCTACGTTAAAAACCTTCATGGCCCTGCAAAAAATTCAGTTGCAACTGTATTACCAGCAGAGCTGAGACTTCTGCCGACTTCTGCTACTAAAATATAATAACTTATAATAAGGAGTGCGGTTATTGACTGAATGTAGTTAAGAGTTTTGTTCACAAACTACTAGCACAAGTAGCAAATTTGTCGTGGTTAGAATATTTTCTTTACTGAGAGACTTGTACAAATTTGAGCTATGTGGAATTATATTTATCAGATTAATATTAATCCTAATCGTTTAAGGTACGGCTCAAAGCTCAGTTATGGATTATAGTAACCTATGACTGGATCTAATATTAGGATTAATATTAATCCTACATAAGATTAATAGTAATCCTAATTGATCAAGGCACGGCTCAAACCTCAGTAATGGATTATAATAATCATTACGATTAATATTAATCCAATTAACATTAATCCGAGTTGTCCTGTTGTAGCGGCTCCGGATTGCCGCCAAGATACCATAACCCTTCTATTTATCCAATTAAAGCTAGTAGAACTAGCTATTCGAATGTTTCATTATTTTTTTAAGAAAGTGAATTCAGACTGAATGCTACCCGAGTCTAAACTCGAAGCTGAATTATTTTTTGAAACTGAGCTATAACTAAATATGACTTTTGAATTTCGGGAATTTGATATTTTTCTGAAAGTCTGTAACCTAGAAGTTGTGTGTTGGGGCTTTCTTTCATTCGATTGTGTTCAATTAAGTTACAGAGAAGAAGTGGCACTCCACAAGGAAACAGCACGGCAGACATGGAGCTAGGCTTTTGTACATTATGCTTTTGCTTCCCTACTAAAATGCTCCACCTTAATGCTCCATTTTTCCCACTAAAATGCTCGGTCTCTGCAAAGAAGTCACCAAAATGCTCGGATAATGCGCATTATGCAAACGGTTTTTTGAAAATTAATTTCAAAGTTTTATACACTTACAAAAACGTGCAAGTGTTGCATTTAACAACAACAACGTGTACAAGTTCATAAATACGGCCAAAAAAACCAGCTGTATTGTTTTTTTTGTGAATTTTGAATTTTAGTCTTCATTTTGTTTAAAAAAGCAGGAGCTCATGGGGCATGGGCTCCTGAAAAAAGTTAATTTCTATTTTATTTTCTTGGTAAAATTAATTTTGCGGGGAAAATGCCACTAAAATGCTCGAATAATGCTCAATGCTTTTGTGTCACTAAAATGCTCGAAAAAATGCTAGCATAATGTACAAAAACCTACATGGAGCTACCGAATGAATTATTCAAAGAGAAAGACAGCGAAGAAAAAATGGAAAGGGAGGTCCTCTGCGCAGAGAAGGTAATTGCAGAAACAAAGTGCAAAACGCTTCAACAGAGGCTGGAGACAGAGGGAAAGGAACTGTTGTTAATGCAGGACAAAATTACTTCGCTGGAGACGGATAAGAGGGAGCTAACAGAAGCACTTGAGTCTGCAAAGAATGCAACTGCGGCAATACAAGCCATGCATGAAAGGGTATGGAAATTTTTGGTCGTGATAATAGGGATGTATTGACTGTGAACGAAAATTTCCCCTATGTTTGAGGATGTAATGTTTAGGAAATTATCACCCGTATTCTTGTCACAGTAAAAAGATTTGATTATTGCATGCATGCACACTCAACTGAGCCCGAAAGAAGTAAAGGACCACATAATTATGTAATCTTTTGGGACATATGGCGTCTTGATCTCATTATTTGAACCAAACAAAATTGTCAGACACCACAACAAAAATGAAATAAAACCAAACTGTAAGCTCCTGATAACATAGATCCAATGGACCGCTGATGTTGATTAACTCTTCTATTTTCTTTCTCTTACTCTAGAATGCAGATTCAAAGAATGTAACTGATATTGCCCCATTGAAGAAAACCATAAGCAGTTCTTTAACAGGTATAGAGAATCAGTTGTATGAGCACAACAGTAGACTATCGACCATAGAAACATGCCTGTGTAACATGTTCAATAGTGTGTCAACACCAGACTCTTCTTTCAATGAATCATCCACTGTCTTTCCTACTGAACCTCCGACACATGCTAACATAAGTTTACTTGCCGAGGAAGATGCATCTTTCCCAGCTGTCACACACAACAAACACCACCTCTCAACCCGAAACAAACCGCCACCGCCACCTCTATTTCCTCTTTGGTGTTTAGTCTGCGGCAAGAGAAAGCCAGAAAAATTTAAAAAAAAGAAGCAAGGGACAGAAGTCAGTATGTCCGTGGAAGTATGGATGTCTTGTTTACACCAGAAGAAATGGCAGTGTCAAATTTGGATGGGAAAAGAAATAAAAGAAAGTTAGACGGGACACGAGTTGATCTTCTTCAATGTAAGCTGAACCTCTTCACATTCTTTAATTTTTCCTTGCAAAGAATCCCTAAAATCTCAAAAGTGTTAAGAACAAAGGGCAAAATGCAAGGTCAAGCACTGATTAGAATTGATATTAAAGAGTGATTATTTTCTTTAAAAACCTGCAAAACTAAAAAACAAAGAAAACAAGTAGATAATAGCCACAAAACAAAGAGAAACTGGAGAGATTTTTAGACGGAAGATTTGAACAATTTAGTGTAACCAGACGCTAACCTATAATTTTCTCTTGGCCTTTGTTGATAGCACATCAATTTACGATCAGGCCGTGATTTGCCAACAGTCGGTCAGTTATCATGTCCCCTTTTCCCCATTTTTGTAATGTCCAGTAAAGACTACGTTGTATGTATTATCACCGGAATGCTTTTGTTTTGATTTGATTTTGAACAGCGCTGGTCCACCACTCGCTTTCCACCAAGTACCGGTGGCCCATACGAAAAAACCCTGAAAAACACCATAAACGCCAAGCATAGGGAAATCAGGTTCAAGACTAAAGGCTCCAATCTGGCCAACTGCGAATAGTCTTTCTGAAAAACTAGCACTTCAAGTCGTCCCTATTTTTAGCTCAGATATCATAGAAGCACCTATTGTAAGTGACATTCAAACATTAAAGAAGAAAAAAAAAGAACTAGTGCAAGAGCCCTATTGTTGTAAGTGGCCTGATCACAGTTGTTGCATTACTAAATTGTTGGAGACTTCTTATAATGCCTGTACATACGAATGGTTTTCAAGCCAAAGATTTTTCAGGGACCGTCAGTTGATGTAATTCAGAGTAGTACTATGTATCATGCAACTTGTTTAGTCATTGAGAAATAAAAACAAATATTTCTTGTGCATTTGTGACTGTTTGCAGGGACCTTATTTCGAATGAGGTGTTGCTAATTACAACACTTTTGGTGGACTGCGCTTTTGTGGAAAAAAAAACAATGTTCAAATACATCACGCCTTTTGCAGGAAAAAAAATTCAGAATAAACAAACAATTCCAAATGTGTGCCGATGAAACGCGATATCAGTAGGAAGCATTTTTTCACCTCTCTCGACAAGATCTCCTTTATTCACACCTAAAATCGATATTAGATTGGCCAAAAAAAAAAACAATCCAGCATCGGTGAAAATAACACATACCATAAGAAACAGAGGTTTTATATTTTTGTCTGCAATACATGACGAAAACTGGATTTTTTAAAAGTTCAAATAGAATTGACTGAACTAAGGCAACACAGTAGCCCGAATAAAGTGTGCCTCAATTGTATTTGCACAATATTAAAAAATTGCACATGCGGTTTGACAAAAATGAAAGTCTGTATCCTGCAAGCAGGGTTGCTTTTATCTTTTGGGAACATGCCCGCATCAATTGCCCAGAACACCTTTTTGAGAAAACATCCAAATACAGCTTCATTTGTAGCCCCATTCCTCGATCATTTCATTGCGGAGAAAAACAAAATCAACTTGGCAGAGCAAAAAGGACAGCGTAAACACTGTGACACTTTGTTTTATCAGTTATGGTTTTTTTTCACAAGAATTCTTGCAATTTGCATCTAGTCTTTGCCCAAACCAAAATAAGATAAATCCCCAGTACGTAGACAAGAACCAATTTTCTCCTGTCCCGTCATTCTGTCGTCAGCTACTATACCCATTTTTGGCATACCTAGAAATAAGATACGTTCAAGTACGTACGTCAGCCTTTAGGTGTGAAGCACGAAGGCCTTGATCCGGATCGATGCGGGTAAAGAATGCAACATCACTATACAGGCGACTTGAAAGTCATTGCAGAATAAATCGAAAGATAATATGTGTTAAAAGCTGCCGAAAAATGCCCTAAATGGGCACAAGAATACAATATGTTCATGCTCAAACTACAGCTGCGGCTAAACGATCAAACATTTTCATCCAGCATCGTGTTTCCCAACCATAAATGTTGGGTGGTTAAACAGACAAACGAACACCAGACACAGTGAGTCCACAGAACAATTTTTGCGTATTGTCCCTGAAATTTCGGCACTATATATTTCTGTACTTAATTAGCACCGCAACCAGCTTTTGGCACACACTGATTTAAAGAACTGTTGTCAGCTGAAAGATAACATAACGTGCATGAACATCAACAATTCTTACCCTCCTAACCAATTCCACTTAAAGCTTTTGCTTTTTAACTTTTGAACTTTTGTCCACACCTCGACTTTTCAATGATCTTTAATTTCTTAGGGTGTGTATGGATACATTTTGGAACCATGTAATGTTATATTGTTATGACAGGTCATTAATAAGTTAAATTGCATCCTATACCGTGACAAGTGATTGTTGCAGCAAAGCATTGATCAGCAAAGAGTGTTTCCGTAAGGGTAGCATAATAACCTTTGAATTTGAGGTTTTCAACTTCTGATAACGTCTTTGTTCATTACAAAAAATTGAATATTTTTAGCACTTCCTTTTCCAGTAAAACAATATTATGTTCTAATATTAGGAAAAGTAATAGCCACATTTGTTCTTTCTATGACCTCTATCACATATTAGAGTTCTGTTAAGAACTTTGTCATATTGATACTTTTTGCATAATTTTCTAGTGCACCTACATGTATTGTATGTAGTGTTATAGTTTTCATGACTGTTGAATAATAAATTGTTTATATTATCCCACTGAACATGCATTTCAGTATCTGTACATGTTATATTTTGAAGTCTTGCTAGCTTTTATGTTCATCTTTGAAACTGAAAACTGGACATGTAACCAAGTTGTATATCTGTTTTTAGTTTTTCTTTTTAATTTGTTTCACGTTTCGAAAAAGACTTCAATTCTGGCCAGGCGCCTGCTCAGTAATTTATTGTAGGGTACGATGTTCGGATTTACATAATTGTTAAGAGATAGATCGATTTCAATTTTTCTTCGAAGTTTGTAGTTAGGTTTTCTGAAAAACAAAATTAGCGTAGGATACGATATTAGGATGTACATAATTGTTAAGAGAGATCGACCGTTGGTGTAAAAAATGTATTTAGCTTATGTAAATAAAGTTTATTTCGTTGACATTATTTAGTTATGTGGATCATATGTCGCGCGCAATGCAATATGAGATGGTTTCAAATAACATAGTTCACAACTTCACATTTTTGGAGACTATGCAAATTTGTGACAGGTACTTTGCCGCCAAAAACGACTCCGCTGGTTGCCAGTTTTGCATAGAAACAAAGTATGTCGTTTGCTGACTACTATCTTCCTGATATACATAACAATGTCTTTAGCTTATATACATAAAGTTTATATCGTTAAGATTATTTGTCATATAATTTGGGACGCATAGGTTGCCGCCGAACATGTCTCTGCTAGTTGTGAGTTTTGCATTGAAACAAAGTCTGTCATTTGCTGACTACTATCTTCCCGATATAAATAAAATACATTTTACATGGGTTTATTTCAGGTCAAAGTTTAACTGAACGAACAATACACCTGTTGGTTTCATATGACACAATTCACGTTTTTGGAGTGTCGGTGAATTCGCTAAAACTCAAATTTCACTAAAACAAAAAACTCTAGCTTATCAAACTGGAATGCTCCGCCTCTCTGTTTAGTCCTCATATTCAGGCAAAAATTAATTTATCAGTAACAATGATTTCGTGGTTGACAAAAGTTTGTGAGTTAAGCTGGCAAACAAGTTATTCAATTCAGCATGATAAATGTCTAGCACCAGCAACGTCTGATTTGGGATTCTATACCGTAGTTTCCGTTTTCGATCTCACAGTTATTTGTTCGCCGTTTCAGCTCCCTGTTAAAAATTACAACAACTCCTCTTCTGTCAGTCAGTGGTTCATGTCGCGCTGATTAAGATACAAGATTAAATACACCATAGTCAATATTGTACCAATATTGTACATTGCACCAGAATCTGTTACCCCTGAGTGCTGTTGAGTTGATGACATTGTTGATAGGACCTTATCTCAAAGGTAATTAGTTTCACTATAAAGCAGTAAAAATATTTCACCTCTAAGGTGACCCCTAAAGGCCTTAACCATTTTCCAGCATGTTCACTTTGATCAGCAAGTACTACCAATCTTTATCGGTTACTTTTATAGTAATGGTATGACACAAATGCTCAATCATCAGTGAGCATGTGATAATTTTTGTGCCATAAGTGGTTACCATAGCAAAAGCATAACCCCTTAAAAATACCCTTAATGTTAGGTTGGGGTAACCATGCGTTTTTGGAGATAGTCGAGCTTTAATCTGGAACAAAAATGCTGACTCAGCATTGCTTCAAAAAAACAATATGTATATTTCATTGCAGATTTCCTCAGAATTCGCCTTTTTGCCATGCACAAAACTAACACTTAATATATAAGCAGTAACACAACAAGGACTTTTCATATCATTTTAATCTAAAATCATCGCAATGGCATATAAGGAAGTGAACCTTTTTCCCTCCACACCAAAATAATATCGATGATGGAGTCTGAAAGATGGTCACTTCCAATTTGACGGAACCTTAAACTTTTGTGTTCTTGTGTTCATGAATCACAGGTGACTGCTGCTGCAGGCAATGAAGACCTACAAGAGGTTGCAACCATGAATTTCTTGGGAATGCACTTATAACTGCAGGATGGCTCAAGCCTGTCACAATACTCGACAGAAATCATGCAATGCAGACACTTATTGTGCATGATGTGCTAAAAAAATTGGCAAGAGCCACTGGATGAATTCCGTAAAGGACTAGAGACTGGGGGAATTCTTGGTGCTTACTTCCGGAATACTTGGCAAGCGGCTTTGACAAGTCAGGAAGTACATGAAAGCCTGGAGTTCCAAGAAGGAGACAATGAGAAGGAGGTGAATTATCTCCTTGTTAAAGCCATTCAGAATTTGGACAATGGTTTGTGTGGAAATGTTATACACTAATGATGATGATGTGTGTCTACATGTATATAACTTAAGTTGAGACCCAAAATACATGCCTGTTTTCTTATTAGATTAAGGGGGTGTAGCGTCCACTCATAGCTACTTGAAACTGTACTTTAATCATTTGTTCACTTGCTAGTTCGTTTCTAATCTGCACATAACTTGTATTCATTCCATTCACAAATTGCACGTGAAAAAGAAAGATTCGCTGAAATAACAACAACTCGACTATTACAAAGATGATATTGACCGAATAACTGAAAATACTGCATATTTACAAGTTATTGTGCCTTCTTAATGGAAAGGAAAACTTGTCCTAACGAAACGACAGTATATTACTCCATAACAAAACATGTGCTTTTTCGTGGGAAAGAGCGCCCGCGATATTTTGTGTGCGGTCACCGAAGACCACACCATATAACGTTTATTTTCTGTCTCTTACAGGGGGCTTTCATCAAGGCAGCACGGATGCACATGTGCAATGCACAATGATGGGGAGGAAGCAAATTTAACCTGGAACACTAGTTTCTTGCTTACAATAAGTGAATTTGTAGATAATAGTATGCAACATTCATAAATAGTTATTGATCTGGCAATTCTGATGTCTGTAAATCAAGAATCCCGCCCATTGTCATCACAATAAGTCATTGTAGGGACAGTTGCTACAAAAAATGAACAATATTTTTCAGAAAGCCTATTGTGAATTGTTTTTCTCTCTCTTTTTTTAACTATCAGGAATAATGAATTACTTTCCCAATAAATGTCAGCTTGATCTCGGTGGGCTACTGTGACTGTTCTCATTTATTCATTTTTATGTTTCCTCTTCCAGAACAAGGAAGTGCTGGACTGGAAAAGTTTTTTCGCTATGTGACATCCCTGGACAAAGTTCCTCCACTTGGCCTTAGTAGGAAAGTTGAAGTTGAATTTTCTAACAACAGCAACCAAGCATATTTTGCAGAAACTTGTAGCATGGTGTTAAAGGTACCAACTTTGCATGGAAGTTTAGAGGATTTCCAGGAAACATTTTTAGAAGCTTGCGACAGACCATTAGTGTTTTCAAGAAATGGATGTCATTATCAGTAATTACAAGTTGTTGCACCTTTTTAATGGTGGTACATGTTTGGATGTTTTATTAAACTCATTTCATTCATATGATTTGTCCCTGTTTTTTTTATAATCTTTAACTGCTCCTGCTGTTTCTTGAAGAAACGTTAGTACCTCCAGGTAGATGTCAACACCATATTCATCACTGTTGCATAGAGGGTTAATTAAGTTTGTGAGTGATTAGTACGAAGCTGGTTCCAGTGGGTTTCTTGTGTTGGGAACTTCAACTGGAGTTTCATCATCTAAGCTAACATCTGGTGCAGGGCCATCCCAGCCAACACTATTGTGGTACAAAAAAAAACATGTAAATAACACATTTCAGGATGGCTGTATGCCACACACATGTTGTGAACCAATGTACTGCGACATACTTCTTCTTACTAAAAAAATTGCAATTAATGTGTTATTATTTCTTCATAATCCTGAATGAAAATGGTTCATGAAGACTACTCAGGTAGATTTATTCTCCAAGCTACTTTACATGTAAGAGCTGTTATTGTGACTGCACTTTGGAAACAAGCTGAAAGGTTGTACTTCTCCATTTGTCTCGACCACAACTTGGATAACATGAGAAACAAGTCTGAAAATACCTATAACATTGCATGAACATTCAAAACTAACATTTTCTTGGAAACTCCTTATCCCTCCCTCCCCACCCTTCCCTTTTTAACACACACCCGACTCCAGAAATCATCAATTCCCCGATTTGAAGCTGAGACAGCACCAGAGATTCACAGTTGAAGAGGACTCTTTCCCCTCTATGTAGAGATTGGAGCCCTGTTATGCCCTTGGGCAAACAATTGCATTGTTTGGTTAATTCTTGGAACATACACACAGTGAAGAGTAAATAAATGAAGCTCATTTGATGCACACAACGTTCCATTGCATAGAAAAGGTTGTAGTATACATGAAGACATCCACAAAAAAGGTCTCTCCAAAGAGGTTCTGTTCTTTGGTTATGTACGCTTCGCCCAGCAATATGGCTCCCTCTATCAGGTCTCTGTAACGGATGACTCAGCATATAACCAAATAACGTGCAACATTCTCACCACCCTTATCAGACCGTACTCTTGAAGGTAGACGAAAACTTCCAACTGCTTAGAGAAAGCAATTGAGTACAGTACTTGCCAGGTTACTTGTGCTGCATGGTAAAAAACAATCATTCTCAAGAAGCCATCAATTCCACCATGTATTACAAGTCGCCATCTGAGAATTAAAAAAAGTCAAAACCTTTAAGTATTCTGGTCTCTGATGACTCCCCCACCCCACCCCGATACCCTTGTCATTGTGTCTGGTGCTAGGAATTGGATAAGTATCTAAGCCACCAAATGGCAGAAAAATGTGCAGGTCATTTTGTGCGACTGCAAAATTGTTAGATATCGTTAGTTTTGTTAGTATTCATACCTTGTGTACAGTTATCACCGTACACAAGGTATGAACTGCTTTACACCAAAGTTCAACGCCCTCCAGCATGAATCATGGATTAGTAGAAGTATAAAATACGATAGGATGCAGCAAACGCTGATTTGATATAGTGGCATGTAACGAGGTTTCTTACATTTACCTTATTAGCTTATGATTCCCGTCGATATGCCACAAAGCAAGAGAGCCACTAACTTGATATCTTCTCTGGCAAACAGTTCGCAACTCAAGGACTCTTAGGAGGACGCCCTCGGGATTGACTCTTCTCATACACTCCCTGATGCGATTTTGCAGAATTCTATGACCTAAATTGAGCAAGAGGCCTGTTATCCTCTTGTAGCCACAGTTGGGAAATTCTCTCATTAATCCTTCTACGAGGCCATCCAAAGTTTCATCAGTAATATTTCAATATGTTTGCCTCACAAATGTTTCAAACTCACGAATTCTTCGTTCAACAGTGCTTTCACTGACACCAAGCAGAGATGCAATCTCTACGGATTTAAACCCAAAAATCTAATAAAAACTCGAGCTGATCCTTTGCAATGATAAAGCTTGATCTTCCTTGCTCGCTAGTAGTTGCAATCTCTGCTTGAAATGCGACGTTCTCACTACAACTACCATTCTCATTTTGTCTTAGCTGTTCTTTCGCTTCTTGAATAAGGGCTAGTATTGCTTCCCCAGAAGGGATATTGTCACAATAACGTACAACAGCATTGTATAACCAGTTAAGGCGGAATTGTATTACATCATTCTGACCATGCCAGTACTCCGTTGAAGGAAACCTATGATATCAGTTACATGTCTGCTGAATTCTACAGAAATCGACTCATCCACCATGTTTGACAGAACAGAGCACGAACACTGGTAATAACTAGAATAAATTATAGATAGCGCAGGAAATGTTTCTCGCCCTGGGACTCCTCATGAGTTTCTTATCGTGAGGCTACCAGTCTACTTGCCGAACGTAATTCGAGAAGCCGCTTTCCAAACGTAATTGAGAGGAGCCGAACAAAGTTCGACTAAACTCAAGAAAACTGCCAGCCTAGTTATAAGTGAAATATTTCCAACACAATTCCAAAAGAGTCGAACATAGTTTATGACATTTTTTATTGAAGATAAAAGAGCCAAACATAATTCCATGCAATGCTGGAACATAATTCTGCAGTTCGGCCTAATGAAATATCAAACACCATAACATGATTTGCTTTCTAATTTTGACCCTAATAACCCTTCATACTGTAAACGGCATGATTAGCTATTGAGACTTTGTGGCAGTAAACCGGTTGTGTCCTGACCAAGAGTGCAAAGCATGTGGCAAAAGTCGGCACATAATGGTGAATGTTCAATTTCTGATTTTCTTCTCAAGTAATGATTTCGAAACAAAGGAAACAATGCATTGTCGGTAGAGCATGAAAAAGCCTTAATTTGACGTGTGTATCTTTATCAAAATTTGCATAAAAGCCCAATCTGACACAAAGAACTAAATACCTACTGAAAATAGCAAAAGGGGAATAGAAGTATCCACTAAAACGAAATCTGGGAAATATACGTAAACTCTTAAGTAAATTATTATTATTCATGATTATTATTTTATGTGATGGAGGAGCGTGCCCCCAGAGGCGGTGTGTCACTTTCATGCTCTAGTAATTGTAAACAGACAACAGGACAGTAAAAGTGCAATGTCTTAACACGTATTCTAACAGATCCATTGACTCTTGTAAAAAGTAATTAACATGAACTAGCTACTTCCATGGTTCACTTTGGTTTTAACTGAAAATCCCTTGGGTTAAACTCATGATCACTTGGAAAGAGCATGTTGAAGTTCAGGAAACATTCCATTGAGGAAAAAGTGCAGGCGATCAAAGTTGCAAAAACAAAGAAAGAAGAATAAAAGAAAGTATCAGGACACTGTTAAGCAAGGAACTGTAAACAGCGAAGCAAAGGGTATTGAAAAAAAACAAGAGATTAAAGTTGCTGAAGGTCAAGTCCCAAGGGAATGTCTTTTGTGATTCATGGTATTTCAGTATTGACTGAAGAGGCACCAGTTCGCTTACAAAAGTACTGACGCAGTTTAAACAAGAGAACTGTAACTGACAATGGGTCGGCATCTACTTGAAGCCATATACTGTAGAAAACGGTTCAAAAACCAAAGAAGGCTGAAAGCATTGAAATAGCAAATTTTGCTCTGGTTGTATGATTGATAGGATACGGTTCATTAATTTTTTTTCTCACTAACTAATATTCTCATGAGCGCTTTCAGTTCCAGTTCCTTATGTTTCTGTAAAAGTGGCCCTAGTAGATAGAAACAAAAAATTGTAATCCACATTTAACAAATTTTGCGTGGGAAGGAAGTACGAAGTATTTATTTGTCAGTTAATGTTTCCGTTGATAGTAAGGAAAACATGAAAATGAACAATATAACAGGAAGATTCAGCTTGTTTTCTTTCTTTTCTTCTGTTTTTCTTATTTACATAAATCTACCATCGACACATATGTTGTATTTTCTCTGCTAAAAAATCATGACCAAAATCGGACTTAATATTATCACATAACAAACAAAGTGAAAAGTTCTAAAGTTTAACTGCAGCGACGTTTTGTACACAATTATCAAGAATACATCTAGCTGACAGGTTTTCTTTAGTCGCTTCCTTCACAAGCACTTGGACTTTAGTGTAAAATTCTATGAAAGATGACACAACTTTAAGCGTTCTTGCTGAAGGAAAAATATCGCGAGTAACAATATAAGCTTGTTCTCTTTGGACTTAAGGAGCTAACGAACACGCAAACTTAATTTCGATGAAATTACCAAAACCATTAAGGATAAGTTAAGAATTGGAAATGAAGGGATCTTACTATCGTTGGCAGAATTCAACTGGTCAAAACATTTGTTATCCCCACTTTCTTATACCGTGCTAGCTTAATTTGTATGGACAAGGAATTTGTAAATGAAGTAAACAAAATTATATTGGACATTATTTGGAAAGGTTAAGACAGAATGAAACGTTGTGTGCTCGTTGGGGACATTGAAAAAACTTTATTAAAACTTTATTATTATTGATAAATAAGTACACAAAGCACAAGTTAACGATAATAAGATGCCAAAGCCAGAGGCTTATATTGCGTAGGTCAGAGAGTTACAATGTGCTGCTAAGTTACAATGAGAATAAAAGTTAAAAAGTACAAGATTTACAGAGAAAAGGCATACTATTACAACATATAAAGAATTATTACTGCATATAAAGCAAAATAAACATAACAATTAATGACAGTGTGCAAAAAGTAATAAAGAAAAGAGTTTGAAGGTAGAAGAAAAATTGGAGTTCAACTTAGTTTAAATTCGAAATTTGCATATAGAACACGGATTTTTTACACACTTTGGCATACAAATAAATAAATTAATTAATTAAAAATTGAATATAAAATTAACCTTAAGTGTTAAGTGTTAAGGAAGTTGACTTAACTAATAACGGATTCAAATATTATTTGCCGGTAAGTACAAAAACTATATATAATATTATCATTAAGCAATAAGGAGATATATACAATGACTCCAGAAATCAGTTCTTGGGTGCCATAAAGGTAAATACAGATGTGCAAAAGAAAAAAAAGATTATTAATAGTAGTGAAGTGCAATTCAGTTACTGCAAGAAAAAGTTAGATTGACAGCATTCAAGATGGAGGATTGAAAGCTCCACACTTGGATTCTATTATTAAAACTCAAAAAATACTATGCTGTAAAAAGCTCGCAAGTGAGGACCGTAGTAGGTAGAAAATTATTCTTCTACATTACCTAAAACCAGTAGGTGGCAAATTTATCCTTGGCTGCAACTTCGATGTAAAAAAGCTACCTATCAAGATTCCAGGCTTTTACGAGGAATGTTTAACCCTTTAAGCCCCACAGGAGACTACGGAAACATGACCCCTTATTCCCGGAAACTAATTAGATCTGCAGTAGCTACAGACTCATTTTCTACCCTTCCTCAAAAAGTTTCTTATATCTAGAAAACTACAAAGTAAAATGCAAAACACTTGAGACAAAAAATGTTCAGCAAGGAATGATCTTTAATTCTAGCCTGCAATTACTGCAAACAGTGTATCATGGAACTAATTTGAGGAAGATACACATCTGCAAAATTTATAAAATAGCCATGATCACTATTTATTTACAACGGTTTGAGAATGAGAAGGGGAAACAATTCTCTAATTTTTTATAACATGAGCAATAGCAGTTGAAACTATCAAGAAAGAACCTATATGCAATAAAATAAATGTCACTATGTCTTGGGTCCAAATTATTCAAATATATACTACAATGCACAATGTTTAGCTCGCAGTTTGAATTTCGCGCCCCTGCGCGCCCTTGTGACGCATTAGCTCAGACAGCACCCATGTGGTTGGTAAAGCATTTCAAACAAATTCATTTGTCGCAGCGCTTCCAGGCCATTGAACAAAATTTAGTGACTTTATGCTTTAGACAGCATGGACAGCGTCCCCTTGTGAATGGATAAGGCCAGTGGCTTCCTTCCATTTAATCAGAAGTGACTGTTCTTATATGGCTGCTGAAATCACCGAGGAGTCGTGAGCAAGTTCGGTGCGAAATTCTAGCTGTCCTCTTGTCCAGTGGTTCAGTGCTTTTTTCTCGAAAATGGATGCATTAACAATGCTTACATCCACACAGAACCAGAAGCTTCTTTAACTATGGAAACATTTCAGTGCCTGACAGTGTTTTCATTTGCATTACTCTGCCCCAGTAATGATCAGTACGAGTACTTTCAGTCTCATGTGTCTTGAACCAGTCTTCTGGAATCTCTTGGAATCGTTACAGTTTCCATTCATCAACCACTAATGAGACTAAATCACCCTTGAACACTTGAGGTAAGCTCAATATCAAATTTTATGAACAATCAGGAGAATCCTCACAGTTGTTGTAACTGTAGTTGCTTACTGCTACTCTTACACCCCATGCAGCCTCTGCAACAGTCACGTGATCGTGTTGACTTCTACTGTTCAGTACACATGCTCCAGGTCTCTCTGAAAAAATGACTTGCTATAGCTTTATGTATGTCCTTTTCCATCTGCATGCGACATAACTTGCTGCAAGCCAAAATTATCACATTTAAAGGAAGAAGAACACAATGTACATGTCACTGTGTATGGTGTTGGATCTTCTTCCAACGTCTGTCCAATAAGATGTCCATTACGATCTGTTTTTCCTAACCAGGTTTTTTGAAACTGTGTCTTTCCGTGGGGCATGATTGTCAGTTACATGTGGTTCACAGTATTACTAAACTCTCTGGTATAAAACTCCAAGGCAGACCAAAGCATCGACAACTTTTTGGTTTTTAAATGAACAATAAAGACTTACTAATTTAGGAAGGATTTTGCCTGTTATAGTTAGATTGATAAATTTTAAACTATAAACGTTAGGTACTCTTAAGTATACTTTATTGTAATTATTACGGGTAGTTATAGTTGTAAGGCGCATTTGATCATATTCAGGTGTTATTTTGCGCCTAATAAGAAATACATTATTATTATTATTAATTATAATATGATTATCTTTTGAACCTGTGCTGTTAATGCCTTCATCAGTGAGCAAAAAAAGGTTGTGGAAGTCATACCCCTACATACACATTACGGTAAAAACTAAATTAAAGAAGTACTGTCTTAAAACAGCAGTCAGTGAAAAACTTGTTTGCTACAGTGTCTGTAAGCTTCTACTTTCAAACTCTTAGAAAGAATGTGATAGTATAAAGTGCTACAAATCTCGTACTTGAGCATATGGATATGCTCAAGCAAAATGAGCACAAATCACCTCATTCAAATTCTATCATTGGGAAGAAATCTGACGAGAAAGGTCACAAAAATAGCTAAAATAACTAACCAGTCATTGATAGAAGTTATCAAACGGTTTCAACGACATTGGTCATCAGTAAGTACCTGCAAGAAATAAAAATAGCGATTTTAGGTACAATTCTGAAAAATAGCTGCTTTTTAGGGATAGGGAAAATAATTAGGGACTTTTAGAGCCACCAACATGCCTGGGTTGTACTCCAAGGTCGAGTTTCGTTCTAATAGTACATTGTTCTCTCTTATGCCATTATGAAGGTAGCCTTTTGAATGAACAAGGCACAAGGTATAACTTATTTTAAGAAAAATGGAAATCTATACGGCTGGAGTGAGCATGTTTATGCTGGCTGCTTCATGAAGAGTTGCACTTCTTCTTTCAAACACTGTCGGACTAGCATGACCACCCAACGCAGCAATAACCTCCGCTTCATGAAGTAGATTTTTCTTTCCCTTCTCCTAGTCTACTATGTTATTGCTACATACATAGATACATACTTTATTAACGTGGCTAACACTTAGCTACAAAGCTTGTTTACAGGTCAGTCACAAAAAGAAAAGACAAATAAACAAGGCCGGAAAGGGTTAAACTTGCAACTATATAAAAGTATTTGAAATGATATAGTATATGGAAACTGCATAAAATTATAGAACTATAATACTTGGCTACTAAGAAAAACAAGTTAAATTGCAAATAAGGGACTATGATCTTCCAAGCTCGAGCTCCTTGAGCCCAAGTTTAAAACTACGGTAGCTATCGATATTTTTTACATTATAAGGAATTGTATTTCTAGTCGGGCAGCCTGGTATCTCCATGACTTGATCCCATACTTTGTAGAATTTACCTGAGGTAATTTAAAAATAGTATCACCACGTAAAGTATAATTATATTTACGTGCCATCAA